AATATGTAGCCTTCTCAGATTGGCCTCTGTCACTTAGCAATAAGCATCTAAGTTTCTTCTGTTAATGGCTTGTTAACTTGTTTTTTTTTTATCACTGAATAATATTCCTTATATTCTGTTGTATAGAGGTTATCTGTTTATTTATCCATTTACCTTCTGAAGGACATCATGGTTGTTTTCAGTTGGAGGCAATTATGAACAAAGCTGCTATAAACATTGTGCACAGATTTTCATGTGGGCCTAAAATTTTAAATCATTTGGGTAAATACCTATGAATACAATTGCTGGATTGTGCAATAAGACTATGTTTACCTTTGTAAGAAACTGCAAACTGTCTTGTAAAGCATCCCCACCAACAGTGAATGAGAATTCTTGTTGGTCCACATCCTAACCTAACTACATCCTAGAATTTGGTGGTGTCACCATTTTGGATTTTGGCCAGCCTAATTAATAGGTATTAGTGATTTGCAACTACCTAATGCTATATGATGGTGAGCAACTTTTTGTATGCTTATCTGTATGTCTTCTTTGGTGAGGTCTCTGCCTACTTCTTAATTACGTTGTTTGTTTTCTTATTGCTGAGTTTTAAGAATTCTTTGTATATTTTGGATATATATGTTTTGCAGATATCTTCTCCCAATCTGTGGCTTGTCTTTTCATCCTCTTAACAATCTCTGCTGCTTCATTTAATTTAATTTAATTTAATTTTTTAAAAGATTTTATTTATTCATGAGAGACACAGGGAGAGAGGCAGAGATACAGGCAAAGGGAGAAGCAGGCTCCATGCAGGGAGCCTGATGTGGGACTCGATCCCAGGACCCCAGGATCACGCCCTGGGCCAAAGGCAGATGCTCAACCATTGAGCCACCCAGGGATCCCTGCTTCATTTAATTTTAATGAAGAACAATTTATCAATTTCTTCTTTCATGGGTTATGCATTTGGTGTTATATCTAAAAGTCATTACCAAACCCAAGGTCACCTAGATTATCTCTTATATTTTCTTCTAGAAGCTCTATAGTTTTGTGTTTTACATTTAGGTCTACATCCATTTTTAGATAATTTCTGTGAAAAATGTAAGGTTAGTGTCTAGGTTTGTTATATCGCATATAGATGCCTAGTTTTTCCAACACAACTTGTTGAAAAGACTGTCTTTTTTCCATTGAATTTCCATTGCTCTTTGTCAAAGATAAGTTGACTATACTTATGTGGAACTATATCAGGGAATTTTATTCTGCTCAACTGATCTATTTGTCTATTCTTTCATCAACACCATGCTGTCTTGATTACTAGATAAGAATATCTATGGTTGGGGGATCCCTGGGTGGCTCAGCAGTTTAGTGCCTGCCTTCAGCCCAGGGCGTGATCCTGGAGTCACAGGATCGAGTCCTGCATCGGGCTCCCTGCATGGAGCCTGCTTCTCCCTCTGCCTGTGTCTCTGCCTCTCTCTCTCTGTGCGAATAAATAAAATCTTAAAAAAAAAATGTCTATGGTTAGGGTGGCTGGGTGGCTCAGTTGGTTAGGCATCTGCCTTCAGCTTAGGTATGATCCTAGGGTCCTAGGATCAAGTCGTACATTGGGCTCCCTGCCCAGCGGGGAGCCTGCTTCTCCCTCTCCCCCTGCCCTTGCCCCCCCTGCTCATGCTCTCTCCCTCTCTCTCTCTCTCAAATAAATAAATAAAATCTTTTTTTAGAAAAGACTGTCTAGGGACACCTGGGTGGCTCAGTGGTTGGGCACGTCTGCCTTCGGCTCAGGGCATGGTCCTGGAGTACCAGGATCAAGTCTTGCATCAGGTTCCCTGCAAGGAGCCTGCTTCTCCCTCTGCCTGTGTCTCTACCTCTCTCTTTTTGTGTCTCTCATGAATAAATAAATAAAATCTTAAAAAAAAAAAGACTGTCTATGTTCAAAGTGTATGTATCAGATATATGTGTGTTGTATTAGATTTTGTTATCAATGTTATACTCACTTCATAAATAGAATTTGGAAGGTTTTCTTTCTTTTTTTTTTTTTTTTTTTGGAAGGTTTTCTTATTTTTGTCCTCAGAATAGAATCAATAGCAACCAACTCATCTGTTCCTTAAAGTTTATCAGTAGAATTCTCCTATGAAATAATATAGTCCTGGTGTTTTTGTAGATAGAGGTGTGGAAAAATACAGTTCTCTGACTACATCTATTCTATAGTAACCAGTCTATTTAGAGTTTCTATCTTTTCTGAGATGTTTTGATAAATTATATTTTCTTAAAATTTCATCTGTTTCATTTAGGCTTTCAAATGTATTACACAGAGGTGAGTAACATGATCCCATACAACTTTATTAGTGTTTTGCATCTTTAATTATCTCCCCTTATTTTTTTAAAGATTTTATTTATTTATTCATGAGAGACACAGAGAGAAAGAGAGAGAGAGGAAGAGACACAGGCAGAGGGAGAAGCAGGCTCCATGCAGGGAGCCCAATGTGGGACTCGATCCCAGGTCTCCAGGATCAGGCCCTGGGCTGAGAGTGGCACTAAACCTCTGAGCCACCCGGGCTGCCCTATATCCCCTTATTTTTATTTTGATTTACTTCCTCTGTCTAGCCAACTGTCTTTTCTATTGTCATTTTTTTCATATATTTATTTGTATTCCCATTTCTAATTTATGAATTGCTTCTTTTACCTTTCCACACAACCACCTGCCACATGAGTGTTTATAGCAGTTATCATAATTGCCAAAATTGGAAGCATCAATATGCCCTTCAGTAGATGGATGGATAAAGAAACTATGGTACATCAAGACAGTGGAATATCACTAAAATGAAATGAACGACCAAGCCATGAAAAGACATGGAGGAAACTTAAATGCATATTGCTATGTGAAATAAGTAATCTGAAAAAAGTGATTACTTAGTGAAAGCAGTAAACTATTACAATTCCAACCATATGACGTTCTGGAAAAGGCAAAACAATAGAGATGTTTAAAAAATCAGTGGTTCCGCAGCCCCGGTGGCGCAGCAGTTTAGCGCCGCCTGCAGCCCGGGGTGTGATCCTGGAGACCCAGGACGGAGTCCCACATCGGGCTTCCTGCATGGAGCCTGCTTCTCCCTCTGCCTGTGTCTCTGCCTCTCTCTCGCTCTCTCTGAATGAATGAATAAATAAATCTTAAAAAAAAATAAAAATAAAAATAAATAAAAAATCAGTGGTTGCCATTATGAGGGAGAGAGGAATGAATAGGTAGAGCACAGAGAATTTTTAGGGCAGTATAACTACTCTTTATAATATTACAACGGTGGACATATATCGTTAAAAATTCTCCTGAACTCAAAAGTACAACACCAAGAATGAACTCAAACATAAACTACAGACTTTCAGTGATAATGATGTGTCAGTGTTGGTTCATCATTGTAACAAATGTACCATTCTGGTGGGGGATGTTGGTAATGAGTGAGGCTGTGCATGGGTGGGGGCAAGGGGTACATGGGAAATCTCAGGATCCTCTACTCAATTTTGCTATGAACCTAAAGCTGCTGTAAAAAAAAGTCTACAGACTTGCAAATAGAAGATGAACAAGTTCTGGAGATCTATTGCACAGCATAGTGACTATAGTTAAACAACACTGTATTATACACCTCGAAGTTGCTAAGAGACTAGATCTTAAATGTACTCATTATGCCCAAAAAATGCCTGTGACTTGATAGAGGTGTTAGCTAACGTTATGGTGGTAATCCTATTGCAACATATAAATCAGTCAAACTGGTGTCATATCTAAAAGTCATGAGGTGGGGTGCCTGGGTGGCTCAGTTGGTTAAGTGTCTGCCTTCAGCTTGGGTCATGATCCTGAGGTCCCTGCTCATCGGGGAGCCTGCTTCTCCCTCTGTCTTTCTCTCTCAAATAAATAATCTTATTTTTAAAAAAAGTCATGAGGTGTACAACACAGTGTATACCTTAAACAATATAATGTGTCATTTATATCTCAATTTTTAAAAAATACCATTATAGAAAAAAATCAAGTCTATTTAAAAAATGTGTGATTTCAGTTTGGAGATGATTCAGAGGACTTTCTCTCTCTCTCTCTCTTTTTTTTTTTTTTTTTAAGATTTTAGAGACACAGAGAGAGGGACAGAGACACAGGCAGAGGGAGAAGCAGGCTCCATGCAAGGAGCCCGACGTGGGACTCAATCCTGATCCTGGGACTCCAGGATTATACCCTGGGCTGAAGGCAGGCTCTAAACCGCTGAACCACCCAGGCATCCCCCTCAGAGGACTTTCTTAACTATGTTATTCACTGGACGCCTGGGTGGCTCAGCGGTTAGGCGTCTGCCTTCAGTTCCAGGATTGAGTCCCACATCAGGCTCCCTGCATGGAGCCTGCTTCTCCTTCTGCCTGTGTCTTTGCCTCTCTCTGTGTGTATCTCATGAATAAATAAATAAAATCTTTTTAAAAGCATATGCTTTTCACATTCTTGAAAACATAAAATTTTGTATTCTTCTGAGCCCACATCCCTTTATATTCTTTTTTTAAAAAGATTTTATTTATTTAATCATGATAGAGAGAGAGAGGCAGAGACACAGGAGGAGGGAGAAGCAGGCTCCATGCCAGGAGCGCGGGACTCGAACCTGGGACCCCAGATCGGGGGCCCAGGGCCAAAGGCAGGCGCTAAACTGCTGAGCCACCCAGGGATCCCCCTGCCTCTTTGTATTCTAAGACCGCTCCCCTCCCTTCTTCCCCTCAATTAAATATTCCCTTCAACTAAAAGTCCTGGAGGGTTCCTCGCCCTGGAGCTCAGGAGAGAGAAGACACCCCGGGGGTCACAGGGGGAGCATCTACCAGCCCACCCAAGGGGCTGGGCCCGGAGCCCTCACTCCCCGGGAGGCGGAGGAAACCCACTGGCCAATCGCCACCACCGAGGCCCAGATCTGCTCTCTGATTGGCTCTAGCGGTGACGCCCCCTCCGAATTCCTGGCTCTGATTGGTCTATTTCCTGACTCCGACCGGGACGGAGTCCAGAGGACAAGAGGCTTCCAGACCGAACGGAGGGATGCTTTGGGGGACGTCGGAGACGCCGTCGCACGGCGACAAACAGCCGGACTCCGAGGACACGGCGGCGGGCTCTGTGGTCTCGGGGCTGCTGCCGGCGACGGAGAGGAGCCGGCGGGAGCGCCCCCCGAGCCCGCCGCTGCCGCCGCCGAGGTAACCGCGGCGTTCCCGCTCCGGGGCGGGGCCTGTTCGGCCTGCGGGCGCCGGGCGGGGGGCGGGGGGGAGGACCGGGGGTCGGACTGCGAGACCCGGGACTCCGCCGTCAGCCCCACCCCCGAAGGGGAGCCCTCTTACACCCGGGCCTTCCCTCTCTTCCTCCTCGCCTACGTTCACGCTTCAGCCGCAGTCGGCCTCAGTTTCTCTATGGGAGACAGGGGGAGGGGAGTGGAGGACAGCGGAGCTGGGCTTGCCGTTCTCCATGCCCCCCTAGCCATAGAGTTGCCAGATTTGGCAACAAAAATACAAGACTGGGGCCCCTGGGTGACTCAGTGGGTTAAGCGGTGAAGCCCCACCCCCGCCTTCGGCTCAGGTCATGACCCTGGTGTCCCAGGATCCAGCCCTGGGTGGGCTGCAGCTCATTGAGGGGGAGGGGGGATCTGCTTCTCCTCCCCGCCCCCCGCCCCTCCTCTTCCCGCGTGTGCGCTCTTGCTCGCTCTCAAATAAACACAATCTTTTAAAAATACAAGATGCTAGATAAATGTAAATTTCAGATAAATAAGTAATTTGGGGGTTTAAATATGTCTCCAATATAAAGAGAAATTTAAATATAAAGCATTATTTGTTATTTGTCTGAAGTCGAACTGGGCGTGTTGGTTTTTACCTGGCAACCCTAGACTGGAGTAACACTTTACAGCCCCCTCTCACAGCTGCCCCCATGCGGAGAGTGTTGTATTCTTTGATCGGAGGAAAGGCGAAGAGACTTGCCCAAGGTTATGCAACTAGTGGGTAATGAGACCAGGACACCTTAAAAACCCGGTTCAGTTCTGCTGTCCTACATCTTATTCTTATTGTTGGAACAAATCCCATTAACAAAAGCAAACTTATTTTCCAGAGGCCTATCTAGAGTTGGTTTATATTCAAGTTTCCTCCATATCACTTACTTTATATTTTAGGGGGAAAAATGACTATTAAACTGTCAAAGTATATAGCTATGTGATAATGAAAGTACATTCTATGATTAATACAATGGTGGGACACGTGGGTGACTCAGTCAGTTAAGCATCTGTCTTCAGCTCAGGTCATGATTCTGGGGTTCTGGGATGGAGCCCAAGTAGGGCTCCCTGCCCAACAGGGAATCTGCTTCTCCCTCTCCTGCTTATGTTCTCTCTCTCTCAAATAGTAAAATAAGATTTTTAAAAATACACAATGGCATATCATTTGGCTTTCATGTCAGCAGGCGAGGTTATAATCATTTATATTGCTAGAGATCCGTACATCACTGTTAAGGCCGGGATTAAAGCAGTATCGCTTATAGAGGCTAAGAGCTCAAATTCTGGAATGAAACACATCTGGGTTCAAAGCCTAGTTCTCACCACTTTGTTGACAGTAGGCAAGTTACATAATTTCTCTGGGCCTCAGTTTCCTCTTCATTGAAATAAAGATGATAATAATTGTATCCACTTCATAGGATTGTCAAGTGCCTGGGACATCAAAAGTAATTAATCTTAGTTATTATTAGCTTTACATTGGACCTTTAGTAAGTGTGAATCTTTGGCATACCAAATAATTCTATAATTAATTTTTAATTTTTTAATTTTTATTTTAGTTTTAAAAAGCCAAGCAATAAAAAAAATAAAATAAAAGCCAAGCAATGAGGAATATTATGGATATCTGAGTTTCAGTGAAGAGATGTACTGTTCAGTAATGGTTAAAGCAAGTATTTTAGATTGTAATATATCAATATTACCAAATCAAGTATCTATAAGCTGGGGTAATAAAATATTAAATATAGTCTCATTCATTGTTCCCCATGCATAATTGATATTATTTTTATTTTCATTGTGTTTTAAACAGAAGAAGCATACCAACCATCATGGGAGAGGAAATAACCACAGGATGACTGGGAAAGCTAGAAAATGGATTTATAGTCAGTGGTTGTTTATAGTAAGGTAGACAGAGTATGTTTTATTTTATTTATTTTTAAGATTTTATTTACTTATTCATGAGAGACACAGAGAGAGAGAGGCAGAGACACAGGCAGAGAGAGAAGCAGGCTCCCATGCAGGGAGCCCGATGTGGGACTGGATCCCAGGACTCAAGGACCACGCCCTGGGCCGAAGGCAGACGCCCAACCATTGAACCATAACCAGGGATCCCCTAGAGTATGTTTTAAAAACCAAAAGTCAGGCCTTCTAGGATTTTTATATTTCTTTGCATATTGTTTTTATTTCCTTAGTGTTTACAGTATTAAAATAGTTTACTTGCAGTGGCACCTGGGTGGCTCAGTTGGTTAAGGTCCACTTCTTGTTTTCAGCTCAGGTTATCTCAGGGTTGTGAAATCAAGCCCTGCCTAGGGCTCTGCTGCTGAGCATACATAAGACTCTCTCTCCCTCTCCCTCTGCTCTCTCCCCACCCTTACCCCCACCACATGCAGGCTCTCTCACTCTTAAAAAAAAAAAAAAAAAAGTTTACTTGCAAACTATGCAGACTGTTCCCTAAAATTCCTCTTGGGAAACTTTCAGCAGTTTTTCTTCAAAAAACTACAAAATTTTCCTCACCTAAAGAGGAATGTAGAATTATGAAGATTGAAGTTCTAATCTAAGCAACTACTGTTTATTACCCAAGTGATTGTAAACAAGTTATTTTATCTGATCCTTGATTATTTGTAAAATCGTAATAAAAAATTAATTCCCCACCCCTATAAATCCTATCAGTTATTACTAGCTATTTATCCACCAGAGAAAACTGCCACCATGGATGAATCCAACTATTTGTCTTCTATATTGTCTTCTTCCAGCTTCCTAGAACAGCTGGAGAAATTTTTGCACTGAGAAGACTTGGTACTAAAAGAAATTCATGGTAGTCAACTAAAACTTGACATGGGCATTCAGCACTGTGCAGTGAACCCACCTCATTCTTTCAGTTTATGCAACTGCTGTGTATCAGATTCTCTTCACTCTTTTCAAACCTCTGACATCCCCTAGAAGCCATTCTCAGTAAATGATCTCAATGTTAATGAGGAAATAGAATACCTGAGTTCTGAGCTTTCTGCCCGCAAACATTAATGTTTGCATCCCACTACCAGTGTTGTCATTGTCATATCATATTGCATTTTGGAGTCCTACAAGTTCCATGGAAGTTTAATACATTACAGGCTCTAAAGCATTTTTCCTGAAAATGATATTTTCTCATTCATTAGGGACTGTGTTGTGTGTCCTCTTCCTAGACTGTGGGAAATCACACACACACATTGTTCAGCAACATAGTGATCAATTTCCCCTCTGGGGGCTTCATCTGGAGAAGTTTTCTTCAGGGAAGCCCTGGGTCTCATCCTCAAGGGGAAAGCTGGGACCAGTGTGACATGAGATAGAGAATGCTTTTCTACTTCCTCTGATTATCATGTTTTTTTGAAGCCTCGTTTAAATCTGCTTTCTTCCTTAGACACCATTTCCTGCAGGTATATTTTGTTACCAAATAGAGCTTTGCACTCATATAGGCTAAACATAACTTAACTACTCCCATAATATTGTAGAAATGGGTCTCTTTCACCCCCACACTAGGTCTTCTTGCACCCTCTACTGATCCCTTCCAATGTATTTGCTCGTTCCTCCTCATGGTTCACTTGTCTGTGTCTTCCATATCTGCTGCCACTCCCTTGGACTCTAGGACCAGAGATAGAGCTATGCCCCAGCAGACTCCAGCTGGCTGCCTCATGGCATCTCCTTCTAAATCACACCCTGGAGACTCACATACCCTTGAGTTCCCATGATTTATTGCTGAGTTCTTTCCTCTTCTTCTTTTTTTTTTTTTAATTTTTTAAATTTTTATTTATTTATGATAGTCACACACACAGAGAGAGAGAGAGAGAGAGAGAGAGAGAGAGGCAGAGACACAGGCAGAGGGAGAAGCAGGCTCCATGCACCGGGAGCCCGACATGGGATTCGATCCCGGGTCTCCAGGATCGCGCCCTGGGCCAAAGGCAGACGCCAAACTGCTGCGCCACCCAGGGATCCCCTTTCCTCTTCTTTTTACTATCTTATGATTTAAGTGTTGGTTTACCTAGAGATTTAAGCACCCCATAGTATCATGAATCCAAGCATAGAAAGGACCATGACAGATATTCATCCTGACAGCCATGTACATATATTGCACGCCCCCAACTCCTTTGTTGCCCAACCTCTTTCTAACACTTCAGGAAGCTGGAAATCCATCACCTCCTGAAAGTAGCTTAGTACAGTTTCAGTCACTGTCCATTAGAAAGTTCTTCCTTCTTAATTGAGTCAGAATATGTGCTTTCCCAAATAGCCCTCATTATTTGTTCCAAGGTTAATTCTGATCTTTGGAGCAAAAGGAAAAAAAAAAATCTAATATAGTCATCCCTTTTATATTTAAAATTGTTAATTTCCAGATTCATTTAATAAGTGCTCATTGAATGGTTTTTGTGTCATCTCTCATCATCTTCAGCACAACTACATATTTCTCACAAGAGATTCTTAGGCATGAACAAACTTTTTATTTTACCTTCCTCTTCTTAAAATTAGTAATTGGCAAAGATAAAGGAACTTCAGACTAAATTACTTAAATTTAGCAGAGCTGGAGCTCCTGGATAAATCAAAGGCCTCACAAATGTCTGCAGGGGGCTGGGCCTGCAACATAAGTGAGTAAAAAAGCCAAGTGTAAGAAAAATAGAGAGAGGTAGAGATCCAGGGATGTGCAATGCATATGCCCATCTAAAGTGGACAGCCAATCATTGGTTGCCAAGAGTCAGGGTTACAATCTACTGATTTTTCAAGTAAAAGTGGAAATTTGGATTTGCATATGAAATTTTCTCAGAAAGCATCTAATTCAGATTTAAAATACTATGCAAAACAAAGACAACAAATAAGCTGCCAGTTTAAGACCTCTGTTGTTTCTCTTCTGTAAGTTATAAATGTTAGTATTTTGATATTGATATATTTTGAATTTTTAATAATTTTTAACCTGAGATTATTTAGGACTTACAGAAAAGTTACAACAGTGGACAAAGAATTCCAATATTCTTTCTTTTTAATGTGTTTTTTTTTTTTTAAGATTTTATTTATTTATTCATGAGAGACACAGAGAGAGAGGCAAGGACACAGGCAGAGGGAGAAGCAGGCTCCATGCAGGGAGCCCGATGGGGACTCGATCCCAGGTCTCCAGGATCAGGCCCTGGGCCGAAGGCGGCGCTAAACTGCCGAGCCACCTGGGCTGCCCCGAATTCCAATATTCTTTACGTAGATATCTCAAGTGTTACTATTTATAACACATTTATTTTATAAATAAAATAAATTTATTTTGTATAAATAAATTACAATTATTTATAATTGTAATTTAATTTTAATTGTAATTATATTTATAATTATAAATAAATTACAATTATTTATAATTTATAATAAATTATAAATAAATATCTCTGTATATAAATACAATTGAACATATCATATACTCACATAATGTTTTCTGAAGCATTTGGCAGTAAGTTACTGGCATTATGCCTCTACCTCTTAATGTTTCAGTGTGTGTTATCCAGAAATAAGAAAGGGTATTGTCTTACATCATAACACAATTACCAAAATCAAAATATAACAGATGTGATGTTATTTAATCTATAGATATTGTTTAATCTTATTCAAATTTCATCAATTGTCCAACTAATGAACGTTTTACAAAAAAAAGAAAAAAAGAAAAAAAAGGTTTGTTTGCTGGTCCAGAATCTAATACAGTATCACATGTTGGATTTCGTTATTATGTCTCTTTGGCCTCCTTCATTCTGGAACAGCTCCTCGGTCTTTGTCTTTCATGATTTTAATAGATTAGGTGATGAAGTGATTTTTGGTATTCATGAGTGTATCCGTAATAGAGATCTCTGCGTGTACTAAAAATACATGAGTGGAGGATGGTGCCAGTCATTGAGAATGGAGGCCAGTTTATTTATAGAATATTCCTCCATTGTTGGTTGTTTGTTTTTATTCCCAACACTTCTTCACAAATTGATTCAGGCTATCCATTGGGGGAAGAAATACCACAGAAATGATAATGTGTTCGTCTCAGTGCATCATACCTGGAAGCTGAGCAAGCTGTATTCTCAAGCATGTTGCCCTGGAAGTGGCTCATTCCCACAGAAGAATTCTGAGATCAGTGTCGTCAATCCGTGGTGTTGTCCTTACCAGCAGGCCACCATTAGTGTATTCACATCTGTACCCTCAGGCATTGCTTAATGGCTGTCTGCCAGGGCAACATAAATCCTCAGCTACTTCAGGTTTTACAAAAATGAAGAATAGCTTAAGTTTTGGTGTAAAGTGGTGGTCTATTCAAAACCTTCTTTTTAATTATTGTCTATATGCAAGCATAGAGGTTTTTTTCAAATTAAACAGGAACTAGGCTTACAGATGTGGTGTGCAGGGCTGTATCTCATCAAACTGAGAAACTAAGCTTTCCTTTTTTTCAGGGTAGACGGAATCTAAACCCTTTGTGATATTGTTGTTAAGTCTAAATGAAATTTTGCAAAGTGGAAACTGCAATGATCTGTTATTAGTTGGGAATCTTTGTAGTTTGTGATATGTCTGTTGCATGCTCTCTGTTTTCAGAGCTCACTGCTATTAGTTATGAAATAAATTTTCTTAACAAAACAGTAGGCTTTATGAAGATCAAAGCTGTATGTTATAGTTTCCTATTGGAAAGATTCAGTTTTAAAGTAAGTAATAAATCAGTGAATATGTAACAGCATAATTTGGCTTTGAACTATAAATGCAGAACTTGTTTCCGTACATAAGTGTCCTATACATAGAAGAATAATGTAGGAAACGAGTTCTTTAATTATCTAACTGGTCTCTGTAGGAAACTGGGGATCCCAAGTTCATAAAGGCACAAAAATCTAATTAAAAAATGAGACACCGAAAGGGACTTGATCATGAAGCAGTTTGATCATTCTACATTGTAAGCTTAGAAGTGATTCTATGTTAGGATGCTTAAAAGCTGTTTGCAGACCAGAATCTGAAACTAAATATGAGCAGTTCAGCATTTAGCTATGTGCTTCAGAAATTGTTTGGTAGAGCCTGTTTTTCTACAACATAATAATTTAAGCTTTGGCTTTTGGATCCAAACAGTAATCCTGGCACTTGACTACTCTATGGAAACAACTTGTCATGCCTGCATTGTGGAAATGGTGTTCACAATGAAATGCACAGCATACAAGCTGAAGCAGCACTCATAGTTGTTGGTGTTTCAGGGAGAACATTTGTTATGTTAAATACAAGATATCTTTGTAAGTATCGCCATATTTTTCCAAGGACATTTTTGAACTAGTGATATTTGAAGTATGGGAAGAAAATAATTAGTCTGTTTAAGCCAGTTGCCAAGCATGAATACCTAGATATGATACTAGGATTTTCCTTTAATAAACTTTATATTTTAGAACAGTTTTAGGTTCACAGAAAAAAAATGAGAAGATAATTCAGAAAGGTCTCTTATGCATTGTCACCAGTTTCCCATATTCTTAACATCTTACATTAATATGGCACATTTGTTAAAATTAATGAACCAACTAATACAATAGGATGAACTGAAGTCCAGAATTTACTCTGATTCCTTAGTTTTTACCTAATGTCCTTTTTCTGTTCCAGGATACCACATTACATTTAATTTTCATGTCTCCTTAAGTTCCTCTTAGCTGTGACAGTTTCTCAAATTTTCCCTATTTTTGATGACTGTGACAAATTTTAGGAGTCAGATATTGGTCAAATATTTAGTAGGATGTCCTTGTATTGGAATTTGGTGTTTTTCTCAAGATTAGATTGAGGAAGACCACAGAGTGATCTTTTTATTTGAAAAGTGCCATTTTCATTTCATTGTATTAAAAAATATTGCTGTTGGTTGATGTTGACCTTGGTTCCCTGGCTAGGGTTGTGTTTGTTAGGTTTCTCCAGGTAAAGTTATTCTTGTCACACACACCCTTCCATATTGTATAGTCTTTGGAAGAAAGCCTCCATGCACAGCCCATGCTTAAGTAAGATTTTAACTTTCCAAAATAGATCAAGATGCTTGTTTTGGATGAAGCAGATAAAAATGCTGAGTCAAGGATTAAAGATCAGGGACGCCTGGGTGGCTCAGCAGTTGAGCACCTGCCTTCGGCCTGGGGCATGATCTTGGAGTCCTGAGGTCGAGTCCCACATCAGGCTCCCTGTGTGGAGCCTGCTTCTCCCTCTGCCTGTGTCTCTGCCTTCTCTCTCTCTGTGTCTCTCATGAATGAATGAATGAATGAATGAGTGAATGAATGAAAAATAAATAAATAAATAAAATCTTTAAAACAAACAAGCAAAGGATTAAATATCAAATCCACAAGATTTACCAGAAATTAAATACAAGTATTCAGATGTGCATGTGATAGCTGGCAGGTTGGGTTACTTGTTACAATATAGCTGTGAAGTGCTATATTGTCCTTACTCCTGCTGAAAGCAACTGTTTCCTACAATCTCTGTCTAGCTCAATTCTATAGTAAGACAGGGACGCTTGGTCTCAAACATGTTCCTCTATGTACTATTATGAAAACGATTATATCTGCTTAATTGATATGTCAACATAATTCTCTTTTTTTTTTTCTTTTCTTAAGGTTGGGTTGCTTTCTGCCTTAATGTCAGTCGATACATTGGAAGTTATCGAGAAGATCAAATTCTGATGAAGAAGGAAGAATTGACCCTTGAAATGGTTGATATTTTATAATATTTTAATAAAGGGTAATGTTTTTCCAGTTGATACCCATAAAAATTATGGCCCGAATTATTTTTTACCTGCTTACTTAAGCTCTGTACTAAAATTGCAGAAGCTAGTATCATGTCTTAGTATTTGTAATAAAGCTAGCAGAGTAAACACAAGAAGAAAAACAAGTATGCCAGGTAGTAGAAAAACTGAGATAAATGTCTTTCTTGAGTTCAGGGTACTTTGTTCTAAGATTTGGTAAGATAATATCTGCATTTAGGCAGAATTCATAGAATGAATTTCTGACTAGTCCCTTCCAGTGATAGGGATGAGAATTAGAAATCAAATAGTGTTTTATTCTAACTCTGATAGGAATTAATATTTTCCTCTCTGAAGGAAGGAAGGAAATTGTATGCTCCTTGTGTCATATGATAGACCACACATGACTTTTCTTTTTCAGAACACAAGGCAAAGGGTAGACTGCCTTCTGAGAAAATACATGCCAGGAATCTCAGTATCTAATATATGACTAGTTCTTCCCTACTGTTGCTGCTTAAGATACTGTTAACATCTAATTATTTCCTTAATAAAATGATGCAGGATCTAGTTACAATGTAGCTATAAAGTGCTGCCTTGTCTTTACCCCCTGCTCAAAATAAAACTGTTACCTTTCTAGCCCTGTCCGCCATGGTGCTTAGCAGCCAGGGATGCAGGGTCTCAGACATGATTACCAAGTTAACCCCTGATTTGAGGAATGACTCTTGAGAATTAACGCTTGTTCATATTTGCAGGTGGTGACAGAAAGAGACATTATCAAGAAGGAATTTGGATAAGGCACAAACCAAATTTTGATTACTACCGACTTACTGGTATTCCAATTCCTTATTTAATTGTATTTATCTACCACAAGTGGGTTTTGAGGGGAAGATTTTTAGTAGTCTTGGTCATCTCTAGCCCTGTGGGGGATAAAAACCTCACTCCACAGTTAACTGTGTGATTTATATGTGGCTCATTACTATTTTGTGGCCTGGAAGATGTATAGCAGTTGCTTTTTGAATCAGAATTTGAATATCTACTATCATACTTTCAGGCTCATGATTTTTATATGTACAACTAGTGTCTACGGTTATAAACGATGATCATCTGCCTACTACTTGTGAAATCTATATTTTCAGCTATTTGTCATCTTCATTGAATATTTGCTTTTATTCAGGTGAAATAAATTTATGTATTGTCATTGAAGTTTGATTTTGTTAGCCAGTCAACCTTTAAAATCAGGTATATGGGAACGCCCAGGTGGCTCAGCGGTTGAGCTCCTGCCTTTCGAGCCCAGGTTGTGATCCTGGGGTCCTGGAATTGAGTCCCACGTGGGGCTCCCTGCATGGAGCCTACTTCTCCTTCTGCCTGTGTCCCTGCCTTTCTGTGTGTCTCTCATGAATAAATAAATAAAATTTAAAAAAAAGACTTCCTTTAAAAAATATCAGGTATATCAACAAGGAAAATCTTATCACTCAGTTAACATAAGATGTATTTTTTTTTTAAGATTTTATTTATCTATTCATGAGAGACACAGAGAGAGGCAGAGACACAGGCAGAGGGAGAAGCAGGCTCCATGCAAGAAGCCTGATGTGGGACTCCACCCCAGGACCCCAAGGTCACGCCCTGAGCCAAAGGGAGACGCTCAACCCGAGCCACCCAAGTGTCCGAACATAAGATGTATTTAAATTCTACTTGGGAAGATTCATGTGAAATTCATTGTGAAATTTCACAAATATGAAATTTACCCCATACTTTAGATTTTGTACAATTGATATTCAAAGGAAAAATCAAAATGCTGGTTGCCTTAGCTTACACACGTGTCTTTTTTAAAGTCATATTAATCATATCTTGTGCTTTCTTGATGATTCTTCTATAATTGGGATTTTGCTAGCATTTACTGGTAAAAATTTACATTGACTTGGCTTAGGTATACTTGTTTTATTGAATTCTGTGTTCTACTAATGTAAAAGAACTGTGTTTTAGGAAATACAGTAGTCAACATGAATAGGTGATGAGGCAGCACTCTGAAATGGCCTTGGCCTGATTTAGGACATGCATGGTTTCATGAGTGAAACAACATGTTGTTTGGCTAAAGAGTGAGTCAGGGGGATCCCTGGGTAGCTTAGCGATTTAGTGCTTGCCTTCCGCCCAGGGCATGATCCTGGAGTCCTGGGATCGAGTCCCACATCAGGCTCCCCGCATGGAGCCTGCTTCTCCCTCTACCTATGTCTCTGCCCCTCTCTCTCTCTCTCTCTCTCTCTCTCTTTCTCTCTGTGTGTCTCTCGTGAATAAATAAATAAAATCTTAAAAAAAAAAAAAGAGTGAGTCAGTATTGCCATATTTGTTTTTCTCTTGTGCTACTTATTTGATCTTTTAAGCTGCTTTAGCCAAGACTTTTTTGATTGGCCGTATTATCTGTTTTAGTAGACAGCTGTGGTGGTAAATATATCCCAGCCATTCGCATTACAGTGTATGAGATGAACTGAGCAGAAAGCAGTGATAAATGGGGGTTAATTACCATAACAGATTTGTGGAGATTTCTTATACACACACACACACACACAAAATAATAAAGTTTTAAGTCCTGGACCAGGTTTGTCCAATAGAACTTTCTGCAGTGATAGAAATGTTCTTCATCTGGGCAGCCCGGGTGGCTCAGCGGTTTAGCGCTGACTTCAGCCCAGGGCGTGATCCTGGAGACCCGGGATGCAGTCCCACATCGGGTTCCCTGCATGGAACCTGCTTCTCCCTCTGCCTGTGTCTCTGCCTCTCTCTCTCGCTCTTTCTCTCTCTCTCTGTTTCTCATGAATAAATAAATAAATAAAAATCTTGAAAGAAAGAAAGTCCAAAAAATAATAAAAAAAAGAAATGTTCTTCATCTGTGCTCCCTAACACAGAAGTGACAGGCCACTATGTGGCTATTGAAATGTGGTGATGCAACTGTTTTCTATTTTATTTAATTTTAATTTCAATATCCACATGTAGCTAATGGCTGTTGTATTGGACAGCATAGTCTAAATGATAGCCAACATTCCAGAATTTATATTTGCAGTTGACAGTTTCAAAAATGTGTCAATGAGTCACATAATTGTTCTCTTTCTTTAGTCCCTGGTGTTTACATCTGTCCCAGGTTGACAACTGCTTCCAGATGGCCCTTTTGGGTATGAGCTTTAATTTCACTACCACAAAAACAATAACTGCCATCTGCTTTATAAATAAGAATGCTTAAGATGCAGGCAGCCCCGTGGCTCTCTGGTTTAGCACTACCTTCAGCCCAGGATGTGGTCCTGGGGTCAGGATCGAGTCCCACGTTGGGCTCCCTGCATGGAGCCTGCTTCTCCCTCTGCCTGTGTCTCTGTCTCTCTCTCTCTGTGAATAAATAAGTAATTAATCTTAAAAAATGAATAAATAAGTAATTAATCTTAAAAAAAAGAATGCTTAAGATGCCTAATAGAATCTGATTTTGCAGCCAAAGGAATCCTTTTGCACTAACTGTGAAAGAAATATTTTATTTTTCTCTGGATATTGTGATTAGCATCTAGTTGGAAGCCCTTGGGATGCCTGGGTCACTCAGGGATTGAGTGTCTGCCTTTGGCTCAGGACATGATCCTGAGTTCTGGGATCCAGTTCCACATCAGGCTCCCTGCATGGAGCCTGCTTCTCCCTCTACCTGTGTCTCTGCCTCTCTCTCTGTGTCTCTCATGAATAAATAAATAAAATATTTTTTAAAAAATCACTTTACATATAATCCTGGCAAATAAACAGCCACAGATGGTTAACAAGTAGCTCATATTGTTAGTAGTTCATTTCATATTTGATAACTAATATTCTGATTAATAATTTTTCTTTTGTTCAGAATTGGCAGTGGAGGTCAATATGGGAGGAAATCTGTGGCCATAAACATTAAAGAAGACAAGTGGACAAGTGGATTCTTGGTGACATTGAGACTTTCTACAATACAGTGGAAGAATTACCAATGAATGCGGCTAACTGCACTCGCTGTTATGGACTAGGTGATGACAACGTGCATTGTGCTTTTTCTTTGGGAATATTTGAAGCTTGTCTAAAGCTCATGACCTATCAAAAATACAGATTTTGATAATAATGCTACTCTCTTACTTATGAGCTCATATGAGAAAAGTCATTGACTTTATCTTCTTTAAAATTAGAATACTGGGAATAAAAGCCTTTAAAGATTTGGCCTATAGAGTAAATTTCAAAATGGGAAACAACACTGGTCCTATAATGAGATGTAAATCATATCACCAACATTAATCTTCTCCTGGTGAGTTCAATTCCCTGTAGCAGCATAGAAAGGAAAAGAAAATATTGGAACTGAGAGTAATAAAATGAATACAACAGGCAAAAAAAAAAAAAAATAGAATACTGGAGTTGGATATGAAAGGTGAGGCTGTAAAAATCATTCTTAGAAGTTTATTTCCTAGTTCTATAAAAAGGGTTATATTGAGTGTTCTCTGTCATTTAATACTATACTTGTGGACTGGACAATATGTGCTGTATAAAAGCAGCCAATTCTATTAAACTAGTGTAACTGCTTTTATAGTGTGGTCATTAGACTGAACAGAACAAACTTGAAAATGATTTCTTTAAAGAAAGTATTTTAATTCATTTTGTGTGGTAGTTTTGGTTTTGGTTAAACAATCTTTTTTTTTTTCTTTTGGTAAAACAATCTTTTTAAAAATATTTTATTTATTTGTGTGAGAGAAAGAAAAAGCACAAGTGAGGGGGGACAGAGGGAGAAACAGATTCCCCAGTGAGCATGGAGCCTGACATGGGGCTTGAGATCATGACCTGAGCTGAAGTCAGACACTCCATGGACTGAGCCACGCAGGTACCCTGCCCTGGACCCTTTTGCTAAGCACCATCAGTAATCATACCCTAGGACTGAATTAAAAAAAAAAAAAAAAAAAAAAAAAACAAAAACCCTGCCATATTGCTTATTGAATGAATACTGAATAAATTATAGTAAAGACTATTTTTCTTTAAAGTTGTTTGGTCCTAGGATGCCTGGGTGGCTCAGCGGTTAAGTGCCTGCCTTCAGCTCAGGGCATGATCCCGGAGTCCCGGGATCGAATCCCACATCGGGCTCCCTGTATGGAGCCTGCTTTTCCCTCTGCCTATGTCTCTGCCTTTCTCTCTCTCTTGCTCTCTTTCTGTCTTTCATGAATAAATAAAATCTTAAAATAAAATAAAGTTTTTTGGTCTTTATTCCTTAAAGAATTATAGTTTTTGCCATAATTCCATACTTTCCAAGGAAGAAGATAAAACAGCATTCTGTGATGAATTATTTATTCTAGTTGCAAAATTATGTGCAAAGGATACAACCACTGTGGCTTTTCATTAAAGGCTGTAATAGTTCCAAGTTTGCTGCTGTTTGGCCCTGGCACAAAGATTAGTCAATGGGTCAATTCCAGATGTTCATCAGCAACATCTGCTAAGCATTATCTGCTTTGATAACAAAAAAGAAGTATTAGAATGTAAGATTTATCCTTCTACTGTGGCAAACATTTCCTGGTATAGGCAAAGTAGCTACTTAACATCAAGATTTCTATGTTAATTAATTAATCAGTACAGTTCCTTTTTTGGGTGTTGGGGGAGATTTTATTTATTCATGAGAGACACAGAGAGAGAAAGAGGCAAAGACACAGGCAGAGGGTAGAAGCAGGCTTCATGCAGGGAGCCTGATGTGGGACTCAATCCCGCATCTCCAGGATCACACCCTGGGCTGCCATCCAGTTCCTTTTCCATAACAATAACAGAGTCGCTAAAACAGGTCCTGTGAGGGAGGGATTGACACTGAGTATGATCCTTATTTTTTCTTACTCACAAATTATTTTATGTTGACTACAGCTCACTATTTGTCAAAAGAACCACCGACAGGCAGTGACTATTCCACCTGTTGTTTTGATTGGTATTACACAGAAAAGAACATGATGAATTTCTAGGTGGAAACAGCCCCCATCCTTTCTCAATCCTATCACTGATGCTTGCCACTTTCATAAAACCACTGCTGTGACAAATAAGGTAAATGCTCCTCAGACGTATCAGATCAATGAAAAGTCACATCACTATCTTCAGTAAGTAAATGTGCAAAAGGAAATCCTAAATAATGAGATGTAAGGGATGACATTTACCCTGATGTTCCTTCCCTACAAAAACTAGAAGGTAGGTGGAGAGAACGGCGTAAAGATGAGACAAAAGCAAACAAACACACCTTATGTTTGGAAAAGGTATGACTACAAAATTTACTAGAAGGCCTTCCTTTCCCTAATGTGGATTTTATTCAGTATCATAGTCATCCTTTATCTCCATCCAAGGACACCTTTGATTACATTCTTTTTTTTTCTTTGATTACATTCTTGAATTCAGTAGCACAAGGTACCACTTCCTCTTCCACATTTCCTCTGTTCCAGGGCCCCCTTCCCACTCTTTTCTCCTCTGCCCCTGGCCCTCTGCTGTCCTCTTCTCCCTGCCTTTTGGCTTCCTGTATGCTCTTCGAAGCATCAACTCCCTGGATGTTTACGGTCCCATGACTCTGAAACTTCTATAGATTCAAAACCAAACTTTCCATCTTGCTCCAGGATGAGCTTGAACTTTCTTCTCTTATCTAGACTTTGGCTATGGTCACCATACTTGTTTCCCTGCCCTTGGTCTTGCTCTATCCAATCCATTTGCTACTCAGCCCCCAGAGTGATCTAATTTTAAAAAAATATGTTATTCAGTGAATTTCCTTTTGCCTCAAGATAAATTCTAAAGTACAAGGCTTCCCTGCTTTTGGTGTTGTATCTAAAATGTCATCACCAAACCTAGGGTCATCTAGATTTTCTCCTGTTATCTTCTCAGAGTTTTATACTTTTGTGTTTTACATGTACATCTGTGGTTCATTTTGAGTTAATTTTGGTGAGGGGTTTGTTCTGTATGTAGATTCATTTTTTTCCCATGTGATGTCCAGTTGTTCCAGCATATTTGTTGAAAAGACTGTTTTCTCTATTGTATTACCTTTGCTCCTTTGTTAAAGATCAGATGAGTATAGTTGATTATGTGGGTCTACTTCTAGGCTCCTGTAAAGGAAACTATTTTTCTCCTCCACTTTCAAAATTCTACTCTCACAATACTTCACTTCTGACACTTCTAGTCATCAAATGCTGGGGATTTTCCCCCACACAAAGCAGTTCTACAACTCCAACTGGATTTTCTAAAATTTTGTTCAGACACTGTCTAACCTAGAGATAAAATGAGAATGCACAGGTTAAGGGTTGAGACTGCACCCCTACCCACACATTTCAGATGCCAAATGTAAGACCATGTTATTATTTATGCTTCTGATCAACTGGCAATAAATTGGAGATTCCCATGACCCCCTTCTTGGGTTCGATTAATACACTAGAGTGGCTCACAGAACTCAGAAAAACATTTTACTTACCAGATTACCAGTTTAAGAGGATATAGGTCAAGAACAGCCATATGGAAGAGATGCATATAGCAAGGTATGAGGGAAGGGACTCTCATCCAGCACATTCATGTGTTCACTAACCCAGAAGCTCTCTGAACCTTGCCCTTTGGGATTTTTATAGAGGCTTTGTTATGTAGACATGATTGATTAAATCTTTGGTCGTTGGTGACTAATTCAACCTCTAGGTCAGAAGGTAGGCTTGAAGTTCTAATCCTGTAATCACAGGGTTTGTTTCCCTGGCAACCAACCTCCATCCTTAGGGTCTTTCTAAAAATCAGCTCATTAGTATATAAATCCTGATATGGTTGAAAGGGTTTATTATGAATAACAAAAGACACATTTTTCACCTTTATTCTCTGGAGCTCTTTCAGGAACTGGGAATAAAACTAAATATAATTATAAAAGATGTCCCTATGTTTTATAGGAAATTACAAGGGTTTCAGGAGCTATGGGCCAGGAACAATGGAAGACAAATATATATTTCTTATTATAAATCACAATATCACAGAGGCACCTGGGTGGCTCAGTTGGTTAAGCATACAACTCTTGATTTCAACTCAAGTCATAATCTCAGGGTCATGAGATCAAGCGCCAAGTTGGACAAGCGCCAAGTTGGACTCTATGCTGGGTATGTAGCTTGCTTATAATTCTCTCTCCCCCTCTCCCTCTGCCTCTCCCACCTGCCCAAACTCTCTAAAACAAAAATAAAAAATCACAATATCACAGCTCTCTATTCTGTTCCATTGATCTATTCATCTATTCTTTTATCAATATGATACCATCTTGATTACTGTTAGCTTTACAGTATGTCTTTTTTTTTTTTTAGTTTTTTAGTTATTTATTTATTTATTTATTTATTTATTTATTTATTTATTTATTTATTCATGAGAGACACACAGAGAGAGAGAGAGAGAGGCAGAGACACAGGCCAAGGGAGAAGCAGGCTCCATGCAGGCTCCAAGCCTCAGGACTTGATCCTGAGTCTCCAGGATCACGCCCTGGGCTGGAGGTGGTGCTAAACCACTGAGCCACCCAGGCTGCCCTACAGTAGTCTTAAAGTCAGCATCTATCCTCCAATTTTTTCTTCTTCAATATTATATTGTATCTTTTACCTCTCTATATAAACTTTAGAATAAGTTGGGTGTTTTTTTTTTATATCCACAAAAAAACCCTGCTGAGTTTTTTTATGGGATTGCATTAAATTTATAGATCAAGTTGAGAAGAATTAACATCTTTTATAATATGGAGTCTTCCTATCCATGAACATGGAATATCAATGTTTATATATTTCTTTGAGCTCTTTGAAGTTGTCCTCATATAGATCTTATCCATAGTCTCCTAAATTTATCCCTTATATATTTCATTTTGGGGGCATTAATGTAAATGGTATTGTGTTTTCAATTTCAAATTCCTCTTCTTTACTACTGGTATATGGGAAAGCAATTGACTTTTGTGTATTAATTTTCTATATCACAACCCTGCCATAATTGCTTATTAGTTCCAAGGTTTTTGTTGTTGTTGTTGATTCTTTCAGATTTTCTACATGTATGATTAAGTCATTTGTGAACAAAGATAGTTGTATATCTTCCTTCCCAATCTGTATACATTTCATTTCTTTTTCTTGTCTTATTCGGTTAACTAGGACTTTCAGTAGGGTATTGAAAAGAAGTGGTGAGATTCTTTTAAGTGTTCTATAATGCTACAAATGGGTCTTAGTCTTTTAATGAGACTGTGCCCCTGAGCTGTGAACTTTACATATGCTTGTCCGTTCTTCCTTCTACCCACAACCCCTGCCCTTTGATGACAGTATGGCCAGAAGGAGCTATTTTCCTTCCCTCAGGTCAGTTAGCCTCTGATTAGGTAATTTTTTCCTGAGGGAAGACCTTGTTAAAAAGAACAGAATGCTCTGGCTTATTTTTTAAAAGTGACTTTTCCCTTCTTCTACTGCAAGCATGAGGAGATTTTTCCCCAATATTCACTGTGAGAGAAACTGGTCACCCTGAAAGTAAAATTTACAGAGGGGCAGAGACTGCCAATGACTGGGCCCTTATTGAGTTTAAAAATATACATATTTTAGATTAAGGCTTTTTTAAAGGATGTTTTTTGGTTCACAGTAAAACTGAGAAGAAGATGGAGATGAGTTAGGGACAAACAGGGCTAGGCAGGGTTCAGTAGTGGTCCACTGAAGCAGGCTCACAAAAATCCCAAAAATGCTGAGATGTAAGGAAAACAGAGATAAAGGAACAAGCCAGACCACCCTGCCCTGAGATGTGGGTGGGGAGGGTGTCTTGTTATAACAGCTACTTGTGACCAACAAAGAATAACCAGGCCCCGAAGAAGTAAACCATTAAAGATACTATCAATAGTCTTTACTCAATGGTGACCTCAATAGATAATGTTAAAAGGATTTAGGTTCCCTGATTAGGCTTCTAATAAAACACCAACCCTGGGATGCTTGGGTGGCTCAGTGTTTGGGCAGCTGATTTTAGCTCAGGTCCTGATCCCGGGATCTGGGATCGAGTCCTGCTTCCAGCTCCTGCGAAGTGCCTGCTTCTCCCTCTGCCTGTGTCTCTACCTCTCTCTCTGTGTGTGTCTCACATGAATAAATAGATAGATCTTTAGTAAATACATGCATACAGACAGACATACATACCAACCCTACAAGCTCTCATTGGCAACCCTGGCGGGGGACCCCTCTCATTTCTGAGATCTTTTTCTGTATCTTTCCTT